TCTGTGTGCCTCTGTTCATGATCATATTGGGGATGTCAGTCTAGATTAGGACCAAGCCCGTCTGCCTTTGAAATTCTATTACACTTAAAACTCATCATCATGCTGTGGTCCTCTGGGTTCCCCTCCATCTGGGCCCTGATGACCTTTCTGACTGAGGTTATCCCTGTCAGTCTTCTCTTTGCTCCGTCTGCCATCCTGGCCTTTCTGTTGGCCCTTGAGCATTACCAGCTCATTCTTACCTCAGGGCCTTTGTACTTGCTCTCCCCCCAGGCTTCTCATGGCTCACACCCTCCCTTCATTCAGAGCATCCCTCCCTGAGCACCTGCTTGCAACAGTCCACTCCATCCATGCCACCCTCCTACCTGCTTCATTTTTCTTCAAAGATGACCTGAAATTGTATCATGTATTTGACTGTCTGCTCCCCACTGGAACATAATCCATGGGCCTCAGAACATTGTCCTGTTTATGGCTTGTATTTTCAGCATCTGGAATGGTGCTTGGCATATAGTAGATACTCAAAACCTATTTGTTGAATGCATGATTCAATGAATGAATGAATGAATGTATGAATGAGTTGCAGACTTACTATGAAATATACACTTAAAAATAAACCTTAACTATTATCTAAGTTTTCAAATGTGTTTTGCTTATTCTGTAGTTGAATAAAATAGTGTTTCCTGAAAAATGAGATGTAATCCAGATTTTTAGTTGTCTGACCTTTCCTAACCTATCCCTTAGCCCACCTTCTCCCAGGCTTCCCTAGAATATTCTAAATTAGTGACCTTTTGCAGTATTATGTGGAAATAGGCTTTCGTTGTTCATTCAAGGCAGAAAATACTTGATATGAATAATGATTTGATGATAAGTATGCTGTCCTGGTAAGAAAGGGAGTGGTTTGGAGAGCTGGTGTTTTGTTTTCCTTTTTTAAAGGCTCTGAGGAGGCAGAAAACAGTATCTGTTTGTTTACGTGACTGTTTCACAGATGACTTCGGCAAGAGTCACCTTTAGTTAAATCCCAGCATAGTAACCCAGAATTATCCTCCAAAGAGACAGATGAAGAAAAATGGCCTCCTACCTGAAAAAAAAATTTGAAAAAAAAGCATATTTCCAAAAGGATGCAAAAAAAAAAGGAGAGACACTTCTCTTTCTCATAAAAAATTCAGAGCAAGAAGGACAATACTATTTTCACAAGAGAAAGCATGCATTAGGCCATAGATAAGCCTTTTTTTATTTTTTCAAAGCAGGAGATTTTCAGCTGAAGAAAATTGACAACTGTGCCTCCAGGCTGAATTGTATAGTTTTTGCCAACAATAGCTGTGTTTACTGATGGCCCTATGTTGCCCCCCAACAAATTCAAGATTAAGTAAAGGACTGGTGTTCTCAGACAATCACCAACAAAACGGACATTTTCTTCCTGTTTGTGGAGCTCCAGGCTTCATGTCCTTACCTTTGAGAAATTACTTCAGAAGTTGTTGCTTTTAAAGATGGAAGTTGTGATAGCTGGTAAAATAGAATGTTCGTACCACTCAAGCTGTGGTTTTCAACCTTAGCTGCACCCTAGCTTCACCTGGGAACTTAAAAAGGTGGTATTTTGATAGGTACTGCGTTGAATATGTAGACTGTTTTGGGTAGTATAGACATTTTCACAATGTTTGTTCTTTCAATCCATGAGCATGGAATGTTCTTCCATTTCTTTTTTTTTTCCTTAAAGATTTTATTTATTTATTGGAGAAAGAGAGTGAGAGCATGAGCAGGGGCAGAGGGAGAAGCAAACTCCCTGCTGAGCAGGGAGCCCGACTTGGGGCTCAATCCCAGGACTCCAGTATCATGACCTGAGCCAAAGGCAGATTCTTAACCGACCGAGCCACCCAGGAGCCCTGTTTTTTCATTTCTTTGTGTCCTCTTCAATTTCTTTCCTAAATGTTCTATAGTTTTCAGAGTACAGATTTTTTACCTCTTTGGTTGGGTTTTGGGAACTTAAAAAGGAAACACCAACCCAGTGCCAGAGTTTTACCCCAGCCCAGGTAAATGGGAAGGTGGGCCCATTAATCCTAATTGCTGTTAGTTTTCTGGTTATTTGTCAGGTGATTCTAACCCATGGCTGCGTTGAGAAGCATTGCCCTCCGGCCCTTGCCACAGGGTGCAACTGAATCCCATCTTGGATGGGGCATCTTGTGGGGTTGTGCAGGATCCTGCTCCCCAGCCAAATTGTGAAGAAAGTAAGTTTGTCTTGGCTCTCCTCTCCTCTGCCCTTGTGTGTCCCTCTCCTCATTCCTGGAAACTTGCTCTCCTGAGCTATTTGTCAGGCGGTCTTATCCTGTTCTGTGCCCACGGTGAAGCTATTAGGCTTTAAGGAAACTCCTCCTTGCTAAAAAATAATCCCACAGAGCTTTCCCCCTTTTCAGTGTATTATTATCCCTCTCAAAAACAAACAACAACAACAAAAAAACCCCTAAAACCCAAAAAATCCACCATGTAATAGAAAAAAAATGTGGAATGCCACATAATGCAGCTGGTGAGTTCGAGGTAAAATTGAGGAGAGGAGGAAGGTGCTCCTGGCTCCCCTCAGGTCCCTCCTGGTCGGCAACAGTCTACTCCAAAGGGCCGCTCTGCGGGATCACTCTGGCAAGTTACCTAACCTCTCTGTGCCTCAGTTTCCTCGTCTGTAAAATGGGGATGATGTTCATACCGACGTACAGAGTTGTCGTGAGGACTGCAGACAGAAAGCATCTGGGGAGTACTGCCACAGTGAGCAGTCAATGCCCACTAGCAGTTATTACTATAATCACTATTACCATAATTTCAAATTCTTGAATTTATAATTAAGTGAGGGGGAGTTCCACATGGAGCGAGCAAATACATTCCAATAGGGAAAACATTCCTCGGATAGAGTCCTGAAAAATATTTTGAGCTGTGACATCCTCACTTGCTCCAATATCCCAAGGCAATGCTTAGTTTATGCCCTCCATTTAGATGTATAAATTCCAAAAGCTTTTGAAAAAAATTCCCCCCCCCCCTTTTTTTAACTGTATCATCAATCTTGTATGTCTGTGAGTCTTGGGAAATGATGGAGATTAGAATGAACAACTGCATAGCTGGGGAGAAACAAGCACCTCTCTAATTGCCTAGTTAACACAGAAGTTAACAAATTCAACAAACATTTCATAATAAACTCTGTGCCAGATGTTGTGCTAGGAAGTGGGGGTGCCACAGGGAGGAGATGTGGCCGGTGCCCGGATGGAGCTCACAGGCCAGGGAGCTGAGAGAAGGGGTGTTGTCCAATCTCAAGTCACAGCCCAGAGCGATGAAGACATGCTTAAGCCCCCCACTCTCTTCAGCAACTGTTCTAAGCTCTTCCAGATAAACCGTAATGTGTGAGGACATGAGGAATGGGTTGGACTCATTTCTCCTCTCAGAGATCTTACTTTTTCAAGAAGGCTGGCTGGTCAAGCAACTTATGTATTTCATTGCAGGAAATATGCTTCTCACTGACCACAGAAAAGTCGGAGGTGGGAACAGAAATGCCCAGGGATGACCTAAGAGTCTTCCATCCTTGCAAGAACACGAAGGTTTGTCCCCTGACTCAGCAGGCTTCTTAGTGACTGATCTGAATGCACTGAATGTCAAATTTGGGTGGTGTTTCCCTATTTTTTTTCTTTTTAGACGTTTCCTACAGAAGGCTTAAATGGATGTTTTCGTTTTGTTTTGTTTTAAAGTTTCCCTAAATTCTTAGAAGCTTCTGAATGGCTTACAAGTGTTTTTAGATTATGCTAAGATTTTACACAAAAGAAGCTCTTAAAATTGCCTGAAAATCTGACTTTTGTTAATAGAGTCACTTTGGGACTGAACATTTCTAAGATTCCTTTTAGTCTTAAAGAGTCCTAAGATCTACCTCATAATCTAAGAGATCTTTATTTACTTTTGAAATTTCATTCGCCATGACCTTCCACACTTGACCTTATCCCCCCTCTTTCCTGCAGCCTCTCTGTTATAACAAGCCACTAACTCCCAAGGAGTGACTTCCTTGGACTTAGTGTCTAATGTAGTATTACTGTGACTTTTCTTTAAAAACTCATTTTCATTTGTATCAAATCTACTTTCCCATCTATTTGTTTTATAAGACCTAATTTGCTTTTTAAAAGTACGGTGTGGTGGGGCGCCTGGGTGGCTCAGTCGTTAAGCGTCTGCCTTCGGCTCAGGTCATGATCCCAGGGTCCTGGGATTGAGCCCCGCATCAGGCTCTCTGCTCCGCGGGAAGCCTGCTTCTCCATCTCCCGCTACCCCTGCTTGTGTTCCCTCTCTTGCTGTCTCTCTCTCTCTGTCAAATAAAATCTTTTTTTTAAAAAAAGGAAGTATGGTGTGGTGGCAAGTCTCAAAGAGGAACTCCAATAGACCACACTTTGCAATTCGTGTCCTGTATAGCCCTCTCTTTCATGGACTGTGACCTGGACTGTGACTTGCTTTAACCAATAGGATGTTGTGAGAGTGGTGGGGAGCCCGTTCCATTTCGAGGGTTTAAGAGGACTGGTAGGTCCGCTGCCTCCTCTTGGAACATTTGCTGTGGGGAGTCCTGGGCTGACATAAAAGTTCACTACTCTGATGGAGGGACCACTCTGATGGAGAAACCATGTAAAGAGGCTCTGAGACTACAGGGGAAGGGGTCAGGTCCTGCTGCCTGCACAACCTGGTTGAACCTTCAGAATACTCCAGTCTAGCTGCCATCTGACTTTAACTGCATAAAAGATCCCACGAGAGGCCAGCAGAAGAATCATCCAGCTGAACCCCACAAGCCACCGAAAAGAGGGACAATCAAATGCCCTCAGTTTTGAGGCAGTTATGCAGCGTAGTTAATAATATAGGACAAACCTGTTAACTGTAAGACTCCAGATGAAAAGACAGTGAATGGGTTTCCTCCAAATAATTCATACAATAACCTGAAGAACTTTTACAGGGAAGCAAGCTTTCAATGCACTCAGTTTCTAGGTTAGTGAACAGCATTTTTATTCTCGATCAAAAAACTCATCAAAAAGTGGGATTCTCTCTGTCCTGGTCCTCACCAGTGCCTGTGGTTTCTTCTCGCTTTTTCTCAACTCCTCTGAGTCAGAGCTAGAACTGTCCCAGAGAAGCTGACCCCGGGCCTCTTGTTCACGGAGCCACATTTCCATTTTGCCAATTTTCCGGGGACAACAGTCATTCCTTGCTTGATGTTCCCCCAAATCTTCATTCTGTGAATTTCCTACACAAAATTTAAAGTTTAATTAATTCTTTTTCTCCTAACAGTGATTTGTTTGTTTATTAAGTGCCTAGATATTTATGAACACAGAATAATGTGCTTGGTATTCTTTTGAAATATATATATATATGTTGAAATATATATCATATATATTTACATATGAGTTCAACTTTATATATATATATATATATATAAATATAAAGCTCTGTAAGCATTAAAAGTGTTTTTCTTGTTATTTAAAATTCTTAAAAATCTTCTGAAAGTCACAAGAATAATACAATACATACCTATATATCCCAACTCATTGACAACATTTTGTCACAATATTGCTTTGATTTTATACACGCATGCATGCACTCATGCTTTTCAGCTGAGCTATTTGAGAATTAGTTGCAGTTACATCCCCTCCAAATATATCACCACAAATCTAACAGCAAGGGTGCTTTTCCTACTTAACTACAACTATTACACTTAGAAAATTTAACATTGATAAATTACTGTTTTCTAATATATGGTCCACATTCTAATATTCATAGTTGTCCCAATAATGCTCTTTATAGCTGCTTTTTGTTTGCCTGTTTGTGTTTTATTTTTTAGATCCAGGATCCAATCTAGGATTATGTATTGCATAATCTTCCCTATCTGTTTCTTTTCTTTTTTCTCTTCTTTCTCTCCCTCCTCTGCCCTCCTCCTTCTCTCTCTCCCTCATTCTCACTCTCGACCCCTCCCTTCCTCTTCCTCCAAACCCCCTTCATTGTCTTCTTCTTTTTCCCTAACACTGACATTCTTAAAGAATCCAGATCTGGGCGCCTGGGTGGCTCAGTCGTTAAGCATCTGCCTTCGGCTCAGGTCATGATCCCAGGGTCCTGGGATCGAGCCCCGCATTGGGCTCCCCGTTTGGCGGGAAGCCTGCTTCTCCCTCTTCCACTCCCCCTGCTTGTGTTCCCTCTCTTGCTGTGTCTCTCTCTGCCAAATAAATTAAAAAAAAAAAAAATCCAGATCAGTTGTTTTGCAGAATGGCCCTAAATTTGGGCTTGTCTGTTTCCTTGTGATTAGATTAAGGTTAAGCATTTTTGGCAAGAGTATTGCACGGGTGATGTTACCTAGTGCAATTTATTCAACAGCTACTATGTGCTAGGTGCATGATACACACTTTTCCTGACCTTCATATCCACTCTCACCTCATATAGAATCGCCTATGAAGCCTTTTAGAAACACAAATGTTTGGGCTGCACCCCAGACCTATAGAACTAGATAGCTCAAAGGATCATGCATTTTATTTTACTTTCTATACTTTCTAGAAGAGATTTAATCATTTATTTTTTGGCATAGGATATTATGTATGTATGTATGTAGCTTTTTATTTAAGCTGTACCCAGTGCCCTTTTAAAATGCACTTCAGGGGGCGCCTGGGTGGCTCAGTCAGTTAAGTGTCCAACTCTTGATTTCAGCTCAGGTCATGATCTTGGGGTCAAGGGATCAAGCCCCAGGTCGGGCTCCATGCTCAGTGGGGAGTCTGCTTGAGATTCTCTCTCTACCCCTCCCTGCCTGGCTCATGCTCTCTCTCTTTCTCCCCCTCAAATAAATAAATAAATAAAACTTAAAAAAAAATTTTTTTTAATGCACTTCAGAACAACAGGTGCTTTATTCAAGCAAGGCTGGCTTTTAACAAAGCAAAAGCAATGGCCACTTCCGAGCTAGGAAAATCATCCTGGGTCAAAACCCAGAATGTCCCCTCCATCTGGTTGAACCATCTGTAATGTTTGGATGTCATCTTAAGGATAATTGTTTATTAAACTTATGGCATATTTTATTTAAGCCCTTGATAGCTGATGTTGCACACTGTTACACTGCATACTGTTATATGAGGAAATCAAGCATCTCAATGCGAGCGTTTGTCCTTGTGATTCATTAATTTCCTTTCTGCCTCGGTGAGGGGCTACTTGAATGTTATTATAATTATTGTTATTGTCTATACATATAGTAGTGACCAAAAACCATAGTTAATTCATGTCTGCAGCCCCAATCTCTCTCCTGAGCTACAATACACTTTTGTTTGTTTTGACGCCTCCATTTTTGTCTCCCGGTGACATGTCACACTTGTCTTCTCTTTCTCTTTCAAACCCTCATTTTCTCCCAGTTACCCTAATTCAGCAAATTGCCCTAGCTTTGCCCCATTGTCTGCCTAGTTCTTCAAGAGTAACCTAAGAAACCTCCCGGTCTTCCTGCTCTCTCCACGAATCCACATGCGATCCATCACCGGGTTCTTCCAGTTCTATCTCCTAAATACCTCACATCCGGCTCCTTCCCTTCTGTCACCCTGCTCTCCTGGTCCAAGCACCATCTCTCACTTGCACTTCTGCTATGTCTTTATCACTTGTCTTCCCATGTCCTCTTGCATTCTCTTCCCATCCATCCTCCACAGGTAGACAGAGTGATGCTTAAAAATGTAAGCCTGATTGTGTGGCTCCCCTGACCTTTCAGTGGCTTCCCATTGATCTTAAACTCAAGTTCAAAGTCCTTATTTGACTCAACTTGCAAGACCCCGTGTGCTCTGCACCCCGCCTGTGCCTCCAGAACCATCTCTGACCGCTACCTGAATCTCTCTTTCCTACCCAGTGTCTAGAATCTGCCAGTTTCCTTCCCACTCAAGAGATTTTGCACATACTGTGACCATTAACAGTTCGGAATGTTCCAGCATCTTGGTCCTCACACGTACATGGATTCCTGTCCCTTTTGTCTGGCTACTTCCTGTGTTAGTCTAAATATCACTTCCTCATGGAAACCTGAGTCTCTCAGACCTCTCAACTGAGGTCTCCCAGTTACACTGTCATCGGACTTCTCCTTGTTCCTTGTCTGTACTATTGCAAAGCCAGGAACCACATCTATGAACAGATGAGTGAGCGAGTGAGCCATCAGAGAGTTTGGGGAGGCAAGAAGTATTGGTAACTGGGCTGGGAAAGACTTCACTCATCGGGGCCAGGGGGTGTAACCATCCCTGCTCCGCCAACGAGCCAAGAACCACCAGTGGCATCGTTCAGACTGGGAACAGCAATTTTCTGCGGACTAGAGGCAGGAGCTTTGAAACAGGAAGAGAATGTTTGTTAATGGTGGGTCTAATGCAATATTAATAACAGCTTAAGTACCACCCCGCTCTTGATGTTACGATAACGCAGGCCTAAAGTTAGTACGTGAAGCCAAATTCACACGGTCCATTTTATCCTTAGATCTCTCTTAAATCATTCATGAAGTATTATGTACAAGGTTTTGTATACATAGCATTAAAGTTTAAGAACTTCTCAGCTAGATGTCTTTTTACTTGTTACATTTTTATAAATCCCTGCTTGATTCTCTGGGGTTGCTAGACTTAAGGAAAAAGAAAAAGAAAAATACGTTGAAAAACCTAAATGGGTTTTGGGTGAGCAGAGCAGAGGAGAGTGCGTACACCTTCAAAATTAATTTGGGAAGAGAGAAAAGCAACAGAGACCAGTGGGGGGAAATAGGGAGTGATGTCAGGTAGTACAGGGATTCTCTAAAGTGTTAAAAATGTCTGATGGTTATGTATTTTATAATACATATATGTTTTAGCAAAATGTATCACCATTCCATCAAACCCATAATTTCACACTTATTTCATAGACAAGGCTGAATTTAAAACACACACACACACACTCAGGATACTTTAAAGAACAATACTAAGTGGATAATGGTGCCAGTGGCCGGATAAGACCAGAATTGTGAAGGTGACAATGTTTCAAAGGTGCCGCTTCCCCTGAAGTAGATAGTGATTTTTACTATCCATCTTTCTTTCTTTCCATCTTTCTCAGTTCCATCTTTCTTCAGTTGCCTGTATTTCCATGCATGGGTTTGGCATTTTACATTTAGATGTGCTTTTACACATATTGGATTAATTTTTCCATAAACCCTACATGGTAGACAAGGCTTTATTCCTGTTTTACAGATGTGGAGACTGAGGTTCAGAGAGGTTAAGCAACTGGAGCTTAGCTATAATCTCTGTCTATATGTAGAATAAAGCTATCTAGAAAAATATATAGCTAATGTTTATTGAGAGGCTACTATGTACCAGGCACTGTTCTAGAAACAAAAAGCTCCCATGGAGTTTACATTTAGAAATGTATTTTTGGGGGCTCAGATGAAGAACTTTGATTTCAAGTTCACTGCTTTTTCTACCCACTACCCTATACTAGATCATGGCTTCTGGAAAAGGCAGGAGCCACATAAACGTGTTAAATCTCATGAAATTGTACACCCATAGAACAGTGTTCGCTTTGTGTAAGTTAGGAACAAGTGAGCCATCATATAAGTTATAAGTAATTTATTGTGTAAGTTATATGTAATTCTCATACAATTATACAAGTCATGTGTAATTCATTATATAAATAGATATGAAATGTATTTAAAGTGGGTGAATGTAAGGTATATGTAAAATTTCATTTTAAAGAGGCAGCAGAAAACAAAGCGACTTTTATCTTATAAGAGACCAAAACTCTCATCCCACCTTCCCAAGAGGGAACAAAAATGGGCAAATACAGCATTAAATAAGAGGAGGTGGGTACAGCAGAATCTTAACGACCAGAATTGGACTAGCAGAAAGCTCCTGTAAATCTATGATCTTGACTTTGCCCCACTTTCAGGAGAAAGCAAAACAAACCGCTTTTAGTAGACAGAGAAAGCAAAGATGCTACCTGGGAATAAGGAAAAAGGAATCATTGCTCGAGCACATGCCTATCGCGGTGGTGAAATCAGTGGGCTTGGTAGAGGGGCGGCCAAGGTTGAGGAATCACCCCCCTCTATTTGCAGACTTTGCCAAGGTTGTCCTGGACAGAGCTCCAAATCCCTGGATTCCTGATGAGGGTATAGGAGGGGGTGGGGATGGTGGAGTGAGCCTTTGGAGTCAGAAAGACCTGGCCTTGAACTCTGGCTCTGTCACATGAGAGCTAGCACTAACTCCTTCACAACAAGGAGTTGCAACAAGCAAGCACTCAACAAACCTTAACTAGAGGGGTGCCTGGGTGGTTCAGTCAGTTAAAGTGTCCGACTCTTGGTTTCGGTCAGGTCATGATCTTAGCGTTGTGAGATCAAGTTCGAAGTCTGGCTGCACACTCAGCAAGGAGTCTTCTTGAGATTTTTCTCTCCCTCTCCTTTTGCCCCTCCCCCCACTCCCGTGCTTTCTTCCTCTCTCTAAAATCAATCAATCAATCAATTTTTAAACCTTGATTAGAACAAAATGAAGCAGCTGTAAAAAGCATCAGGAATGCAGAGAAACCCTCTTCTCTGTGCCACCATCTTTCCTGGGCCCCTCCAGATCTGGGGCATCTTCCAAAGATTTTACCAATGTTGGTTTCTCTTGGCTTGCCCTCAAGCAATGACTCTAAGTATCTAACTTAAGCTGAGACACTTTTTGGGGTTGTTTTGGCAATAGGTTCTAAACTGTAGAAGTTGTTTATCTCTGTGCCTACATAGCATATTTCATTCTGGCACTGGGAGTATAGGTTAAATAGATTCCCCAAGTAGATGTTCAATTATTCAGCCTCTTCTTATTTAATTAACTTATTGATTAAGCATCCTGTTCTTCTGAGCAGGAGCAGTGTCTCTTTCAGCTGGCAACTTGGCATCTGAGACGCTCAGGACTTCCAGAGACATGGCATTTCTGCAGATCTCTCCGTGGTCAGTCCTGCTGTTGTGGGGATTCGGATCCCAGCACGGCAAGCTGTGTGCATGACCAATATTATATATTCAAAGGGTGGGTTTGCCCTGGGGGAATATGGACTGGGCAAACTTAATGGGGCTGCAACTGGTGGAACCACACAGCACAGAGGCTATGAACAGGATGTCTGTTGGAAATCACTGAGTAGTCTGGCCTGGTTGGAGGTGAAGTCGGGCACAAGAATGGCAGCAGAGACAGCCACAAGGGTAGGCAACAAGTAGATCCTAAAGGCTTAGAGTACCAGGATCCTAAAGGCTTAGAGTACCAGGATAAATTTTTATTTACTTATTATTTTTTAGAGGGGGGAGGGGCAGAAGGAGAGGGAGAGAGAGAAGCTAAAGCAGGCTCCATGCCCAGTGTGGGAGCCCTATGCAGGGCTCCATCTCACGACCCTGAGATCATGACCTGAGCTGAAATCAAGAGTCAGATGCTCAACTGAGTGAACCACCCAGGTGCCCCCAGGGTAAAGAGTTTAGATTGTCCTCAGGCTGATGGAGGCTCACTGAGGATTTTTTTTTTTTTTTTTAAGATTTTGTTTATTTGAGAGAGAGAGCAAGAGAGACAGCATGAGCAGGGGGAGGGACAGAGGGAGAAGCAGACTCCCCACCGAGCAGGGAGCCCAACGTGGGGCTCCATCCCAAGACCCTGGGATCATGACCTAAGCCAAAGGCAGACGCTTAACAGACTGAGCCACCCAGGCACCCCTCACTGAGGATTTTTTTTAAGCAAGAGAATGATATGGTCAGATTGGCATTTTATAAGATTACTCGGCTATTAGCTCTGTGCTTCTAAAACGATCGTGCGTGAGAATCACCTTGGCATCTTGATAAAATGCATACCCTGATTCAGTAGGTCCAGAGTGTGGCCTGAAATTCTGCATTTCTAATAAACTCCCAGGTGATGCAGATGCTGCTGGTCTGTGGCCAATACTTTGATTACCAAGTAGAGCCACGGTTCTTAAACTTTAGGGGTATCAGAATCACCTAAGGGGGTGTTAAACCCAGTTGGCTGGCCTCTGCCCCTACATTTTCTGATTTAATCACTCTGCCTGGGACCCAGCCACTCCGTGGGGTGATGCTGGTGCTGGTGGCCTGGGGACAGTCCCGAGAACCATCAGGACAGAGGGTTGATGGAAGAAGGGCAAGACTTGAGGGAGGAACACAGTCAGGAGGCTGGAGCCACAGCCTGGTATGACACGATGCCCTGCGGGTGGCACTGGGAATGTGGAAAGGTACGAGTTCCGTGCCAGGTGGCATGACAGGACTTCGTGACTGACCAGCTGCAAGGAGGGGGAGGAGAAGGACTGGCAAGGCCTCAGGTCTCTGGCCTGAGAGCGTGGAGGGCTCACCCACTCCTGTAGATGCAGCAGGAGCAAGCCTGGGGTGGGCCGTGATGCTGGCTTCAGTTTTAGACAGTTGGGATGAGCCTCGGAGGGCTGGCGGGGGAGAAGCGGGGTAGGGGCAGGTGTCCGCAGAGGGCAGCAGACTGACTGATACCGGTTTGCTATTTAATAGAAGTCCACGTGCTTCATTCTCTTTAACCACAAGCTGAGGCTCTTTTGCCTCTCCTCTTCCTAGGGATGGAGCAGGCATGGCCAGAATGCCCGCGAAGCCCGGGAAACCTCTAAAAAGAGACATCTTCCTACAGTGTTTGAGCTTCTGTCTTTTCCTCACAGCCGCCCCCAATTATATGACAGTATGATCCCTACTTTCCAGGAAGTACATTATCAGCAGAAACCCAAGGCTACTTGCTGTCCCTCCTCCCCCTCCCCCCACCGGAAGTTTATTTGATGAAATTTTAAAAACACTTGAAATATTTTATTCTGCTAAAAAAATTTGTATGACTGACCTGGACTTCTTCTGTTCAAGTTTTCATCCGGCAACAAGGTTGGAAGATCCCTGTCATGTCTTGGGATGCTTTGAAGGATTTTCTTGGCTTTATGGTCCCTCGGTTTTTGCTTATTAATTCTTGCCTCCCTGTGAAGACTTTTCTTCTGAAAATGATCAGCTATAATGGATTAGTGTTCTCCCCCCTGAGCTCCTGTCACCAGAATAGGTCACCAGATCAGCCACTCTGCAAGTTGTGTGCTTATGTGTATTCTGGTCCCCTAACCAGAACACAGTTTTCTTTTTCCTATTAGAAGGTACAGAAACTTTCTCTAGGCACAGGCTTGTTAGGAGAGAGGAGAGTATGCCCACAGTCTCAAAAAGGCATGGCTTGATTTAAGAGGAGGACCTTTGTAAAAACATTTGTTGGTAGGCCACCGATATACTTGGGATTGCAGAAGACGGTGGCTTTAGGCTTAAATTCCAGAGTGAGGAATGGAATATGACAATTGCAGGAGACATGACTGTAAAGGGGTTTGTTATAAGAGATGGTTCTTGTAGGATAATCCCATGGTGTGCATTATGGAGGATGCCTAGGTATCAAAATAAAGACCCACTCACCCCCCTCTATTCTCCTAAACCGAGACAAGTGATCTAACCTCATTTTCCTGCTGGAGCCAGAATGTCATGGGAGCAATTTGTGAAGAGGAAAAAAAAAAAAAAGGAAAGCAAGAACAGAGAGACTTGGGACACAGATACATCCTTATGATTGAAAACAAAGAAAAGGCTCAACAGGGTCAGTGGCAGAAGGGATCTTGCTGATGTTTCCCAATTCCAGTAGTTGAGGCTTCGGTGCCAATGACCAAATTTAAAATGCTAAGTAAAGCCTGGGGACAGATGCTAAACCATTCAAGTGCGAGGGCAGTGATGATGTGGAGTAAACGTGGTAAATATGACACTCCTCTTCTCTCTTCTCATACTTACCTCTTGTCTGTTACGGTTCATTTCCAGCATTCACATCTTATGTAAATATTGTCTTCTCCCGGGAGTATACCCTGAAGTTTGCATCTTCTTTTCAAGTTCCAGCTGTGAAAGATGACACACTCGTTAGAATGGGGTAATTTGTTACTGACTCTGCAATCCACAACTTGCCATTTTTTGGGGGAGGGGAACAGAGTGAGATCTTAATCAGCCATCAGTTATAATCCATTGAGATCTCTTGTGATGTCAAAGGTGGATTGTTGTAGCTCCCCACTGAGTCCTTTGTGTAGCTCTCTGTGAATGGAGCTTTGCTGTGCGTATAACTTAGTTTCTAAGGCTCCTGTAGAGTTTTGCACACCTTAAATGGAACTATGTTTCCACATCTCATTTTGATGAACTATCGCTTACCCTGTCAATAGATGCTTATCACTATCTCCCCAGAAATGTGTTCTGGTTGGGTAAGACTGGCCTCTTTCTTCCTGCCTCTTCTGCCATTGTCTGGCCATGACATTGGAGGGGAGCCGCTGCATGGTTAAATGGAACCCATTTCTATAGCCTGTACTCCCATATGCCAATATAAGCCCTGGTATATTAGGAAGTTGATTATTTGTGACTTTGGCGATCTCCCCTGGTGCATCATAAACCCCAGGGGGACAGTGCAGACAGTTATTAAGGGCAACCAGGGGTGAAAACACCCTTGTTCGCCCCTTGCTGTGGCCAGGAGAGGGAAGGGATACGGCAGCCAGATGTGCTCAGTGATACCTTTTTGCCGCCCTGTGGACAGGGACTGTGTTGGCTGCTGCGAGCCTCCCGAGGGGACCATCTCTACAGTTCCGCCAGCAGTGCACACCTGGCCTTGACCTCTTCTACCAAATCAGCCAGGTGTGCAGCCGAGCTGCCTCCAAAAGGAAGCAGGAGTGGAAAGTGCTGAAAGTTTACTACCTCCCAGTTTTCATGTCTACACGAGGGGCATTTTCTCAGCAGAAGCTGACAAATGAATAAAAGGGAAAAGCTCTTCAGAAGACCTTTCCCAAGGGTTCCTTTTTGGGGAGGTGATGGTAAGTAAGTCAGGAACACCTCGTAGAAATGGTTTCTCCTGAAAACTGAGACTGAGGAGAAAGGTTTAACCGGAGGAGAAGAATAAAAAGAAAGAATTATGCCAGATTTTTCATAAATTTGAGCACTTCTAGAATTACCAATGTCCGAGTAAAATTCCTCTCTCTTATCTGCATCTCCCTGTTTTCACCAGGAAGTGGAGAAGGGCCCAGAGTTTACCTCAGAGATGAGAGTCGTTGCCAGCTGGAGGCAGGCCCAGGAGAGAATGGATAGCTCTGGAAGGTCCTAACGCTGAGTGACTTCATAGTCACATTTGTCTTTGAAGTCTTCTGTGCAAGGAGGATATGAAAAGGAGAGCCCACCCCCCCGCCCCGTTACCCACCCCCTCCAGTGAGTGCTGCAGTTCACCTTTGCTTTGTGAGTCCTTCTGGCTTCTTGCTGGCTCAGGAGCGTTTCAGAAGTAATTACTTGTGGCAGGTCAATGGGTTCAAGCTTCTAGAAGTCCAACATTTAGAGCATTCAGCATTCCTCATGCCATGAGATGATGAAACATAAAAGCCAGACATTAAACTATCTTAATACTTTGCAAAAGCAGCACTTATTCCTGAGAGCGCATAGGGAAGGCGATTTCAACAGGACTGCGGTCGTATCTGTGCAAAAGACTTTTCAACTCATCTGGGTTCTTTATTGTTCTATTGCATTGCTGCCAGGGACTTATTGATCTAAATATTGGTCAGAGAGTCCAAACACTAAGAATCCTTTTCTGCCTGCATCGACGGACCAAGTCCAAAGTTATCAGACAACAAGGGGCTTGGAGTATTCGAGATGAAAGAGGCACCAGGCGTTTGTTTTATTCATTCCTTAACCATCCAGTGGACTCTTCCAGTCCTTAGGGAAGTGACCTGTATTAAGCTCTCCAGAGAAGCTCCCTCAGTCTCCTCCATAATAATCACTGGCACCCAGGCGGAGTATTTAAAATGAAAGTGCAGTGGGCTTACAAATCTTAGATGTGGTTTTTTTGTTTTGTTTTGTTTGCCTTTTTTTTTTTTTTTTTCCTAGCAGGGGCTTGTCTTTATGGGGGAGATCATGTTAGAGTTTCAAAGGGTCATTAAGACTAGGAAGCCAATGATGAACCAGTGGATCTGCCTTTAATCCTACTACTTGCCTCGGATGACTTAATGCTCTGGAAGTGGTCGAGCAGGCCTGGGAGACAAACGTGGGTCTCTCCACACTGATGTGCGGGCAGGGACCTTGGAGGGCTGTAGAATTTATCTGTTCACTCAGTGAGTACATACTGGACAACTAGTGCATGCCAGGCATGAGAGTGCAGTGGTCAACAAACATGGTCCCTATGGAGCTTATAATTGGTGGGGGAACAAATACATTTTTCTTGTATGATTATTCATTAATAATTACCAACTGTGATCAGTGCTTTGAAGAAAAAGTCTACAGGGCAGGGCGATGACAGTATATAACCAGAGAACTCCACCTTGGGAATGGAGGGTGTTATGAATTGAATTGTGCCCCCCACCCCAATTCATATGTTGAGGTCTTAACCCCCATAATCATAATCTCAGAATGTGACCTTATTTGGAAATAGGGTCCTTGCAGATGTAATTAGTTAAAGATGAGGTCATACTGGCGCAGGGTGACTCTTAATCCAGTATGTCTGGTGTCCTCATTAAAAAAGGGAAATTTGTATGCACACAGGGACAACACCATGTGAAGATGAAGGCAGAGGTCGGGGTGATGCTTCTACAAGCCGAGGAGTGACAAAGATTGCCATGAAACCACTGGAAGTTAAGAGAGAGACGTGGAACAGATCCTTCTGCTCAGCTCTCAGAAGGAACCAACCCTGCAAACACTTTGATCCTGGACTTCCTGCATCCAGGACTGTGAGATGATACATTTCTATTGTTTTAAGCCCCACAGTTTGTTGTACTTTGTTACAGCAGCCCTAGAAAATTAATGCAAGGGGGGAAGGAGCAAGGGGGCAGTCCAAGAAAGTTTCCTGAGGAAGTAATTTCCAGCCGAAGTTGGACATTTAGGAAATTTTAGGGGACTAAGGTGTTCCAGGTAGAGGGAACAACATGCACAAACACCCCGAGGTAGGAAAGAGCAGGATCCGTTGAGGGAACTGCAGGAAGTCAGTTGACTGCAGTTCAGAGTAAAGGGAAGAAATGCTCAAAAGAGGCTGGAGAGGTAGGTAGTAGGCAGGGGCCAGGTCTTACAGGGCCTGATGAAGCTTCTAAAGATGTTGGTCTTCTTAAGAGCAATGGGCAGCCATTGGCATATATCAAGCAAAATAGTGACATGATTACATTTGCTTTTAAAAAATGATCACTCCAGCTGCACTGTGGAAGGGCGTGGGGGGCAGTTAGGAGGACAACGGTGATGGGCTCAGGGCTCATGGAGGAAATCAGTGGGCTCTACAAATATTTAAAACTGACCAAACAAGATTTGTTATAGATGGTGAGGAACAGTGAAGGGTCCAAATGGCCTCCAAATACAAAGGATGGATAGTGTTATCATTCACTGAGATGGGAACCCTAGGGAAGGCCAGATGTGAATGAGATATAACAGGAGGATACAAATTCAGTTTAGAGCAGGTTGAGTTTGAGATGCCTTTGAGGCATACCAGTGTAGATGTTGAGTAGATAATGAGATATACAGGCATGGAGCTCACAGGAGAGGTCTATGCTAGAGACGCATATTTGGGGATCATCCCTGAGTAGAGAATAACTGAAACCATAGTCATGGGTAAGACCATCTTGACCGTAAGGTCAAGAGTGAGAAGAGCAGAGCCAAGGACTGAAGACTTGAGGAGCTCCAACCTGAGAAGCTGGTGGATGGGGACAAGCTGGCCAAGGACACAGAGAAGAGATGGCTCGAGAAGTAGGAGGAAAATGAGGAGGACACCACACTGCAGCAAACAGTGTGAGCACCACTCCCACCTTAGTCCAACGCTAAAGGCAAATGATGATTTATTTTGAAATTATTTTTCATTTTAGTCTGATTGGTTGCATTATCAAGGGGTAGACCTGGAAGCCAGCTTTCAAGGTGACCAGAGTGAAAAGAGAGAGGAAGGAGACAGGGAAATGGATGCTGAGCAGCCAGCACTCATGGTGAGCATGACCTGTGCCTCCTGCTACTTCTCTGTAGAACAATTCCCTGGTCTCTGGGCTTGGGCCTGAGCTGTTCTAGGGAGAACAACCCGCATTCCTTTCTGCTGGCACAGCCCAAAGCTCACCTGGCAAGGACACAAACGAGGGCAAAGCATTTGGAGACAGGGAGGAGAGACAAATAATCTTTAGTTGAGACGTGTGCCTCTGCCAGACAATTTGCATTTGTGGTAGAAAGTGGTTCCCTGTTCCATTCTCACCTCAGGTGGAGAAAGTGGGGCTTTTAGCATAAGAACTGCCCAAGGATGTCATGAGAGGTGAGGAGGATTAGTAAGAGAGAGGTTTATCTGGCTCTCTTCTCTGCTGGGCCAATGGGACCTACTGGCATAAGAGGTAGCAGCCGATCAGATCAGAACCTGCGGGGAATGGAGACCAAGAGGAAAGAGCTATCCAGGCACCTGTGGGAAGAAGAATTAGCAGTGACCGAAGGGAGTATTCAGGGCCTGAGGGGAGGACAAGGCAGTGTTTGTGCCATTTCCTGGACTTGGTTCAGGATCTAGTTCTTTCTGGTGATGAGGCTCAGGAGCCTTTACAGTTGCCCTTGTCTGTCAGTCCCAAGGTCACAATATGTCATCTGGTTCAATCCTCCCATGAACCCTGTGGGTAATTATGATGATCTCCCCATTGTCGAGAGGTTAATAACTTGTCCAAGGCTTCACAGCTAGAAAATGGCAACTTTAGAATTCAAACTCAGGTTTGAATCCAGTTCCAAATCCCATGCTCCTTCCTCTTCTACTTGTTCCTAAACCTGGTTTATCATCAGAATCTCCTGAAATTAAACACAGAGACACACAGACACACACACAGACACACACACACACACACACACACACACCAAAAAACCTGGGCTATTCACTGGGGATTGTGATTCAACAGGTCTAGAATATGTCCTGGGAATGAATATACGTATTATATATATAAATAATAAACTTTAATTTTTAGGGCAGATTTAGGTTCATAGCAAAACTGGAAAGTACAGGGAGTTCCCAGATACTCCCTGCCCCCACATATGCACAACCTCTTCCACGATCAACATCCCTCACCAGAGCGGTACGTCTGTTACAATTGATAAACCTACATTCACACGTCATTATCATTGAAAGTCCATAGTTTAAAGTTCACTCTTGGTGTTGTACAGCCATTGGATTTGGACAAATGTATAATGACATGTAACCACTGACGTAATCCTACAGAATAGTTTCATTGCCCTAAAAATCCTTTGTGTTTTGTCCATTCATCTCTCCCTTCCTCCTCTTTTTTTTTTTTTTTAAGATTTTTTTTAAATTTATTCATTTGAGAGAGAATGAGATAGAAAGAGCATGAGAGGGAGGAGGGTCAGAGGGAGAAGCAGACTCCCTGCCGAGCAGGGAGCCTGATGCGGGACTCGATCCCGGGACTCCAGGATCATGACCTGAGCCGAAGGCAGTCGCTTAACCAATTGAGCCACCCAGGCGCCCTCTCCCTTCCTCCTCTTATCCCCTGGCAACCACTGATCTTTTTACCGTCTCTGTTGTTTTGCCTTTTCTGAAATGTCAGTATTTTTGGAATCATACAGTATATAGCCTTTTCAGATTGGCCTCTTTCACTTAACAATACACATTTAAATTTTCTCCATATAAGGGCACCTGGGTGGCTCAGTCGGTTAAGTCTCCAACTCTTGATTTCAGCTCAGGTCATGATCTCAGGGTTGTGAGATCGAGCCCCATGTTGGGCTCCATGCTCAGCACGGAGTCTGCTTCTCTGTCTCTCTCTTGGCCTCTTACCCTGCTCATTCTTTTTTTCTCTCTCTCTCTCAAATAAATAAGTCAGTCTTTAAATTTTCTCCATATCTCCATCATAGCTTGGGAGTTAATTTCTTTTAGTGATGAATAATATTCCATTATATGGATGTACCACAGTTTCTTCATCCATACATCTCCTTAAGGACTTCTTGGTTACATCCAAATTTTGGAAATTATGAATAAAGCTGCCATACTCATCCCTGTGCAGGTTTTTGTGTGGACATCTGTTTTCAATTCATTTGGGCAAATACTAAGGCTCACAATTGCTGGGTTGTATGGGAGGAGTATGTTTAGTTTTATAAGAAGTTCCTGCTGCTCCACATCCTTGCCAACATTTGGTGTTGTCAGTGTTCTGGATTTTGGCTATTCTAATACGTGTATAGTGGTATCTCATTGTTGTTTTAATTTGCATTTCCCCGATGACATATGATGTTGAACGTATTTTCATATGCTTACTTGCCCTCTTTTATCTTCTCTACTTGCCTTCTTATTCTATTGACAATGTCAAGGGCAGAGCAGAAGGTTTGAATTT